AAAGAGAAAGACAAACACTGTATGATCTCACTCATATGTGGCATATAAACCAACACATGGACAGAGAAAACTGTATTGTGGTTACCAGGGGCAGTGGGGGTAGGGGGTGGGCACAAGGGGTGAAGGGAGACACATATATGGTGATGGACAAACAAAAATGTACAACCCAAAATTTCACAATGTTATAAACTATTAAATCATCAATGAAAATAAAATAAAATAAATCTCCTTAACTTTCAAGGCTTAAAAGTCAAAGAATTCCCTTTCTCTGGATCCCATAAGTCATAACTGTTATCATCCAGGCTCAGGACTAATTTTGTGTAAAACAATAAGCTTTTTAAAATCAAGTAACTCTCCTCTAGAACAAAAGGGCTCTGGGCCTCTGGCCAGGCCAGGCAGGGGAGCGCAGTAAGACTATGGAAGTCTCTTCCAACGAAATACCTGGAGGGAGGAGGGTGGGGGGCTGTGTGAGGGACAGGAGTCTAAGCACGGTAATGGTCACGGCTCCGCTTCTTCCCTCTCAGGGCTGTCAGACACTCTTGGGTGTCAGAAAGAACCACTCCCTGCGGGCAGAGACAGGTCTCAGCCCCTGGGAGAGACAGGTGGCTATAGTCCTGGCCGAGTGGGGGTGCAGACACAGGCAGTCAACCCTAAAAGCTGAGGCCACGTGTGAAACTCAACATAAAAGCTGCTTTGATCTGTAAACTTGCACTCACAAATACTAACCCTCAAAAGAGAAGTCAGTACATTTCTCAACAAGTCTTTTCAACAGTGATACGCAACAGTCTTCCCTTTGGAATCGGTGCTGTTAAACAGATATGTACTAAACAGCCATTTTCCAAAGCAACACGAGAGCTGAGGCCAGGCATCTGAGGCAGTTGGTGGTGGGGGGGGTCACACGGCTGCTCCAGGGAACACACGCATTAGGGTCTGACGAGGATCTTACTGAGGATTGAGTCATAGTAGGGACTGAAGACCATCTTGTTATAGTTGACCAGGCGAACAAATTTAATAGCAACTTCCTCCAGCTCTTTCTGAACCAAGCCCAATCCCCCGGGTGCGGTGGGCAGTGGCTTCTGGTGGCCTGAGGCAAGGTAGGACCCTAAGAAGGTCAGGACTCGGACATCTGTGGTAGAAGAGAAAGCAGCTGCTTGTTTCTCGTTCAGGGTGACTTCACAAACTTCTGCCTCTGCTTCAGCTTTTAGCTTCAACATCACCTTGTTGGGAAAGTCTTCCTTGACCAGCCCTGAACCACATACTGTGTCACCCTGCACGTCTGAACATTCCCCCATTTGTGTTGTCTCCTCCCCCTCCAGATGGCAGTTTCCTGATGGCAGGAACCATGCGCGTCTTGGTTGTCATTTTCTCCCCAGCACCCAGCACAGTGCCTGGCATGAAACCTGCCCCAGCAAAAGCTGCAAAGACATGTGGGAAGCAAGAACTAACGCGTGAATAAACCAGGGGGATGAGAGCGCTAACAGGTTCTGCCCTCAGAGGAGCACGACATGCTGAGACCGTCAGCCACTGTTGAAGACCACATACAAATGGGAGGAAAAATAAAGCAGGAGTTATAAGTTCAGAAAAGAAGATTCCAGGGGCTGGCCCAGTGGCATAGTGGTTAAGTTTGCACGCTCCGCTTCGGCGGCCTGGGGTTCACAGGTTTGGATGCCGGGCGTGGAGCTCCGTACCACTTATCAAGCCATGCTGTGGCAGGTGGCCCACATATAAAGTAGAGGAAGATGGGCACAGATGTTAGCCAAGGGCCAATCTTCCTCAGCAAAAAGAGGAGGATTGGCAACAGATGTTAGCTCAGGGCTGATCTTCCTC